TGTCTGAATTAGATGCTTATATAAAGTACCAGGATAGATGGTGCATTAACATAGGTGGAGAGTATCACGAGTCAAATATTGCCAAGAGCAATTGAGTGGGGTATAAAAGACTGGAGAAAGTGAGAAAAAATCAAACCAATGCTTAGATGGACAAAGGAAGTAACCCTGGCAGTCGAGTAATAGCTGTAGAGTGGGAGGAGGAAGGTATTATTGGAAATACATTTTGATTTAAGAAAACGTTAACCTTTGTTTACTGTAAATTTAACTATGTTCTCACCCTATAATTTATTGCTTTGTTACATCGTTGGAGGACTGTAGATTTTAGGATAAATAAGTGTAATTTATTTAATATTTTTGAACTTTAGCTACATTTAATTTTATGGTAGAGAAAATAAGAGACGAAGTATAAAATGTTACTCAAAAAAAAACTTTTGATATTTTCATGTAGGAGGATTTAGAGGTTATGTGAATGAAATATGAAAGTTGTGTTTTTATTCTTAAAACAAAAATCACTTGTTTCCATAAATTCACGGCCGAAATTAGTAGGAATATTTTGTTAGAAATTAGATTTTATGTCTATAACAGACTTATAATGTCTACTAAATCTGCCAAATACAGTTATTACATTTAAAGTTGTAGAACGTATAGTTTCAGGAGTGGTCCACTTTCAATTAATATGTGATTAATATGCATTACCATAAAAATGACCTACTTCTATGGACTGAAATATTGAAGTTTGAGTTGCTTTAAAAATATATTTCCACCTTAAAGCTGTTCACAACATTAAATTTCATCGCCCAATGAGATCCTTATCTCTTAAATACTCAGTACTGAGATATTTATTAAATATTTTCATTTTTGTATACAGGATTTGGTCCAATACCTTTAGAGAAGGAAGAAAATGGCTCCTCTTCTCAAATAGTTCCCACTCCTCATCCTGCAGCACCACCTAGAGGGCAAAATACTCCTCAAGCAGTAAACAAACCACTGGTGACTCCAAGAAATAATACACCACATTCCCAGCAAGGTGGAAGACCGGATTTATCCCACAAGAAAGATAAGCCTCGTAAGTTTAAATAAGCTAATTTAATTCATTTTGAATTCTTTTTTGTGATTCTGTTTATCCCTTGAAATGTTTGAAAAATCCGTGTCATAGTCATTCTCACCATTGGGTATTCTGGTTCTTAGTATTTCAGAGATAAGAAAACCAGATTTGAATTTTACATTTTTTAGAATGAAAATTAGTTTAGAATAGGTACATACTTTTGAAATACCTTCCTTCCCACCTCTTTACTACCAAGTTTTCATCATGACTGCACTTTTCAGTAAATTATAAACTAACAAGAAAACCGGGCTTTTGTAAGATACGCTTACACAATAAATCACTTGGAAGTTGGAGAACAGACAAGTACATTCAGAATTTTTTAGTCACAATACTTGTTGACAGCATAAGTGCAAATTCAACAAAGAAAGGCTTACGATATTTCAAGGGTAAGTACCTGTTTGAAATTAATTTTAATTCTAAAAACTTAAATGTTGATTAATACACATTTTTGAAAATTTAGATTGAATTTTTTGTTTTATTTAATAAGAAGTAATTTTTGAGATTTTATATTGGAACTGTAGTTTACAGGTAACTACCAATAACTTTAATATTCTGTAATTTTTTACCCGCATACAACTTAAAATTCTTTCATTTGTATTTGTTGAAAAATATGATGTTTAAAATGCTGACACTGCTTGAAGTGCCTTTCTTGATATAACTTTTTTAACATCATAGACATTTTATAATTCAAATTTCTTATCGATTGCTTTTATTGTGGATTTTAAGGTACTCAGCATTTCTCACCATAAAAGCCAAGATATTGTTCATCTCAAGAACAAAGCCATAATTAGAACACAATAAATTCCATTTGTGAAAAAATTAGTATACTTGGAGTAGCTATTTTGGTTTGTTAAGTAGAGAGAGAGTTCAAAACAATGACTGCTTCAAGAATCAAGTGAGAAGTAACACACAAAAATTTCTATCCCTAAAAAATATAAATCTTACATCAGAATTGAAGGGTTTTTTTTACTTTACTTTTTGAGATAAGCAATGTTTAAGATATTTCAGGATAGGGTTAATCTTTCACCTTAGGCATGACAAGAGGTTCCAATACTGAAAATATGAAGTGAAAGCTATTTCAGCTTAAGTACTGGTATTTATTTATCATGTAAAAACTTGAAGCATTTAAGGTTTGGGAAATATTCAGTCATGATAATGGATAAACCTTTTAAGTGTTGTATTAGTAACAGTAGTTTTCAAAAATTCATATTTATCAAATACGAGGAGATAACACTTCTCATTCCTAGTTACTGTTTTACATTTACCTTCATTGTGTAATCCTAGTGTTGAAACTTTCTTATTTTTCTTTTTAGTTCAAAGAACTCAGTCTTCAGTCCTTGATAAGCAGATGAAATTTCTTCTTGATCGACAGCGAATGTTTAAGCAAGCTGCACTTGAGGCCAAGAAACGAGGAGACATACAACAAGCTAAGGAATACCTAAAGATGAGCATGGTGAATAGTTTAGCCTGTTCTAAGATAAAGATTTTGAAGGCCTGATTGAAGGTTTTCTTCTTTCAGAACTTATATTTAGTGTTTAAAAACCTTGAAAGTTTAAGAAGCTAAAAGTGCTTGGAAATAAATTTTCAGAAAGATATTTGAAATTGCTTGAATTTTGTGTATTTATGAATATTTAGTAATGTATTTTGGCTATTGGGAAAGTCCAAAAATTGTATGAACTCGTATAATTCAGTACTTTTTTGTCTCAAATATTATTCATTTAAAATGTATGTTCAGTATATTAAATTTTGTTCCAACATTGGCCATACTGCAACTGACATAATATATGTTGAATATTTTTCTATAAAAGGCTGGCTGGTAAAAGAAAAATGAAATTATAGGTATGTTGTATCAAATAATGTATAAATACAGAACTAATTTTTCTAACACATTCAAGACTTTATGAATAATGTCACAGTGGGATAAATAATGATGGAGAATGTGTCTGTTTATTAACTCTTATCAACTTCATCATGATATAGTAATAGCCTGAAACACCAGCTTTAAAATGATATGTTTCATAAATCCTTGCCGTACAATGGAAATATTGGATTTTTCAAGAAAGCAAGACCTATAAATAATCAAGTATTTCAGCGATTATTGATGGAAAAGCAGTATTTTTTCATTTTTCATTTTTTTCATGAAAGTTGATTGTTGGATTATTTTGAACAGAAATGTCACTTGTATCGCTGTACAACAATCAACTTTCATTAAACTGGAATCCACTGAAACATTGCTGCTTAGCGACACAAGTGCCATTTCTGTTCAAGATAATACAACAATCAACTTTCATTAAACTGGAATCCACTGAAACATTGCTGCTTCTATCTTGAACAGAAATGGCATTATTGTCGTTAAGCAACAATGTTTCAGTGGATTCCAGTTTAATGAAAGTTGATTGTTGTATTATCTTGAACAGAAATGGCACTTGTATCGCTAAGCAGCAATGTTTCAGTGGATTCCAGTTTAATGAAAGTTGATTGTTGTATTATCGTGAACAGAAATGGCACTTGTGTCGCTAAGCAACAATGTTTCAATGGATTCCAGTTTCAGTCATTTAAAGACCACTGCAATAATATTTAACAATAATTAAAAAAATAAATATGAGTAAAAATTAAGTAAGAGCAAATGATTATTTTTATAAAATAACAAAGGTGAGACTGGCTGGCACAGATAAAAAGACAGAGAAGAACAGATATAACACACAGCTTTGTTTAAATTAATGAGCTAACAATAATCCAAGTTAGTTCTCATGCTAAAAAATGTACTAAATGGTTCAGATTGAAGCAATGAATATCAGATTTTTTAACCTTTATAAAAAGTTTATCAAATATGACATTCATTTTTTACTTCTTGTTTTTAACTCTTTCGAGATGGGTCATGGGTGAAAGGCCATGTCATCTCATTTGTTGACTCGCATTAAATATTCTATTGAACTACTATTTCATGAAGTTATATCAGTAAGTTTGGTATCAAACTGTAGATTATA